GACGAATTCAGAACTGGTTCGGAACTATAGAAAAAGAGATGCAGAACGAACTAGATCTTAATTGTCGAATTTAGAACTAGTTCGGGACTATCGAAAAAGGGATGCAGCAGGGGGCTTGTTTACTTTACATAGATATGTGTTCGGCGGCTTTTTCGTTCAAATACGCTTCTATTCTGCATTTCGCAGATGCTNAATTTCCCTTACAGGGTACGCACCCCAAGCATGCAGAGCGCCGCTCTGAGAACGGTGACAACACACGCATACATACATAGTACATGTTGCTGTGGTGTTGATGGATATTCAACATTTGAAAGCGAGTTTATATGTCTGGGTGTAGCTGAGTGCGCAAAGATGCTTGCCACAATTTGTTCCAGATCCAGAGAGAGATGGTCAGGGTTCGAATTCCACTGCAGGCAACAAGCAAATTAAATATTTTTTTTATAGTTTTTGTCTTGATTATTCACTTCACGGATGCTTTTTCAGAACGAACGCAGTCATTTTAATATGCCCGTAATTGGATTGAATATTTACCAATATACAGTACTTTCGTTTACGTTTATAGTAAGATCAATAACGTTTCTATTTAATTTTAATATTTTTTCCCTCAGTGTATCGTGGGAGTTCGACGGCTCAGGAGGATCAAACGCCGGTGCGAACTCACGACAGTGTAACACAAGGAAAAAAGAGAAATATAAACACTTTTATTAGAATGAGTATTAATGTAGGGTGGTTTATTGCAAGCGCATATACGAAGTTATATGCTATATTCAAAACAAGATGTACATAAGCAAAGTAGGACAAAGGGACGTATGTTCAAAATATATCTAATGGAGATATTACCTTAAATAGCGATCGCTGAATCTATGCTGCTGTTGGTCTGGCTGCTGTCATCAAACAAGCCCCAGTTCAAGCCGAATATGGCATTAAATAATCTTCAACTTCGAAAGAAACCCACCGGTGGTTTTCCCGCAGCGGTGTAGCTTTGCAGCGAACAGCGGTGCAGAAAACTTACCAGTGGTTCCCAACTATTGAAGGCTTTTGGCTTCAACAGCATTTATGTATACATTTGTCTATATCTATCTCGATTCGTTTTGGCTGTTACAAACAACCGTAATGGGAACAATGTTATAATACCCTTGTGCACAAGTGCACAAGGTTATAAAAATCATAAATACTTCTTAAAAATAAGGTACTTCAAGTCTTTTCATTATAAAGACACAAATTAATATATGTTCTACATACAGGCACTTTCATTTCAATCACTCTTGACCGTTTTGCAACAAATTCGTAAGAGTTGCTGAATATTGCCGAGCGACTCCATTTTCTCCGTATGTCGCACAGTGTTTCGACTATATGGAGGCAGGTGGAAATAATAGTACACCTGCTCCGATTTCACTGAAACTTGACATGTGCTTTAGTTTTACTTAGAATAGAATAAAGATGGAATAATTGCCACGCCCTCCACTCTTGTGGGCGGGAACACTAAATGTCAGCCGATTTCGATGAAATTTAGTTTGTAGCCTTTATTTTATTAGAAAAACTCAAATATAAAAGATGGGGAAGATTGGATCACAATAACGTCCAAAACTCACATCATTAATTGTGATGGAATTTTGGTTAATTTTTGTTTTCTGCTTTCCACTCTCAGAAAACAAAGGTTATACTATAAAATGACTTAGGTGTAAATATCCGCTTTTTTTCTAATGTTTGGTGAGATTTTGTCATTGTTCGAAAAATTCTTTCCACGAAATTATGCAAAAAGAAGCTGAAAATCAAAAATTAAGAAAATCATAAATTACATATATTTGCAAAGTCGCGCGCAAAGATCAAATTATATATTCGAAAACTACATAAAATTCTCTAAAACATTCGTCTAATTTCAAGACCTGACGGACCGGTACTCACACTTTTTTTTAATGTTCTTTAGCATCTACATTTCAAAGTAAATTTATTTGGTAAGCAAATAGGAAAGTACCAAATAAATGATAAATACCTTCACCTGAATATTCCACGACATTTCAATAATAGATTACAGTTGAAAAAGAAACACTTTCTTTAGTGGGTTAATCGCCAAAAGCAACTAAACTTATTACAAAGTCGGTATCGCGCCCATTTCGTTATTTTTTTGGAAATGTATCGTTCGTGAAGAAGGGGGGTGAGTAATTAATGTAAAATTTGGTATTTATGACTTTTACTTATCCGTCTCTAAGTCCAACCGTTTTTTTTATCAACTGTCACCATGAATTTTTTCTACCGGCCTCCATATAGTCGAAACACTGTGTGTCGTCTTTCTCGAGCCTCTTCCTTTCTTTTCGCTAATTCGAGGAGCGTCTCTCGGACCAAATTCTTTTTTTCCACCTCCTTCGCTTTTGGACTGCTTGGCTGCTCATTTGTACTTCCGGCTCTATAGAGTCATCCATCGCACTAATATTTTCCAGCTCTTGTACAACTCTACCCTTTGCACTGTTTTGCTGTACTGCCCACTATTTCTGTTGAGATTTTGTCCCACATTTCATTCTTATTCCGAAGAGCCTTCATTGGTCCAATCTCCGGAAAATAGCTGGCGTATCTGTCGAGGAGAAGCCGGGTCTCACTGTCTGACCACACTGCAACAAAAAACATATTGAATGCTTGTTTTTCCACTTGGGCTACTTATGTATATTTATACCCGAGCGCACTTGTGCACAAGGCTATTATAACTTTGTTCACATAACGGTTGTTTGTAACAGGCAAAACGAATCGAGATAGATATAGACAAATGTATACATAAATGATCAGAATGAAAAGAGAAATCGATTAAGCGGTGACTNACTTGGTACGTGTACTTCCTTCGGGCGTAAGAGGGATGGTATTGAAAATGGGCAAGATCGGACAGTAACCACGCCTACCTCCCATATAACGGTAATTTTCAGAAATACGAAAACTGCGATATTTTAGTAACTACTGAAGATTATTCACTCAAAATTGATATTTACAATAATTTTTAGACAAAAAAGAAGAATATTATTAGCTTTTGAAAAATGGGTTTAGCCGCGCCCACTTGTGGTTACATGTGTATATCTTGGCAACCGCTGCACAGTGTAAGATTTAACCCATCTAGCTGCTTTTAATTATGTAATTCGAAAACTAGTGAAGATAGATTAATGAAAATTAGCACAAGGTACGTTATAAGATAGGTGAAGCTTTTTACAAAAAATTCGTCATTTAGAGTTACTGTCAGGGCACCCTATTATATAACTGAAATTTTTAAAAAGGCAAAAACTGAAGTATTTAATTAACTACAAAGCCTAAAATTTACAAAATTTACATTTAGAATTTCCCTATAACAAGGAACTATAAACTGACAGAAATGGACTTAAAAATAATTTTTTTTTTTTAAATAAATGCGTGGAAAATATCGATAACAAAGTCAAGTTGTGTCAAAAAAATTCCGTTATAAATTCAATATTTCCTGCTCTGTTTACAAAAATGTGATACCATTGGAAAGGTAATAAATCAGGCTTTCTCTATTAAAAGCGAAAATACAAGAATTTGTCTCGGTCGAGATAAAATGCAAATGAATTACTTGAAGAAAATGAAATTCCTAGTAGGCCTGAAAAAAGAAAATTTCATCAAAACCTGCACTTTCCAGCAGCTAAAATTGTGTTTTTTAAAGTTTAAGAGGAGTGGCAAATAAACTGAGATACAAACTTTACAAATTTAAGTTAACATCGTTTTCCTTTAACATGAAATACTCAGTCCTAGTTTACTAAAATCCCAAAAATGTATATTCATCAAAAAGAACATATCCAAAAAAATAAGACTAAAAGGGTATTTTAGCAATTGTTGCATAAATCAGATCACACCGAAAAATTAAACATTGAGATTCAGTTTCAAAATACAACTTTATATATTATTGCGTTTGGTAATTTTCCACATCAAAACCCGTCCCGCCCTATACTTTGATTTAAATTTTTTAGTTGTTATTATTTCGTCTTTATCAGGCATTTCTAAAAAAATTGTTGACTTGGCACATCCCATATAACGGTAATTTAGAGAGATACGAAATCTTCGATATTAAAGCTAATTTATTCAAAATTGCTGCTCGCAACAATTCTTTACCAAGAAATACGTTTATGATAAAATTTTGGAAAATGGGCGTGGCAGCGCCCACTTATGATCACATATATGTATCTCGGTAACCGTTCTACCAATTTGTACCAAACTCGGTATGGTTATTGTGCTTGCCACATAAAAACAAAATGTTGAAAATTATTGAAATCGCACTAAAATTACGGCTTTTCATATAACGGTAAATTTTAGAAATGCTTGAAAATTCAATATTTCGAAATTTAAGGACGCTAATTTACTCAAAATTGATACACCCCGGCTTACCATGAGCGGTAGCTTTCGGAAAGGTGAAAAACATATATTTAATATTTGCTTGTTTTGTACTTACTTTGTATACGTTTGAAGCTCGGGTTTCAATTATTTGATGCTCCATTTTAATGTTGCGATAATATACTATATTTGTTCGTCGCTCTTAATCAAATAAATTTCAGTAGCAAATTTTCCACCATTTCACAAGGCGTAATTCATAATGTTGCATTTTTTTCGAGAAAAGAAAACAACATAAGTCTGTATAGTAAAATGAATTGTTATACGCAGTTAATTTGTTTTTATTTTACTAGCTCTGATTTGGTTTTACTAAATGTTATGTTATCCCAATTTTTTATAAACTTGAAATTGAAAAAAATAATTAAAACTCAAACACGTTTTTGGCAGGGTTTGGTTGGTTTTGGTAGGAAAAAACATTTGTCCGTGCCAACACTGACTGCGATATTAATTTAATTCCGCTAGACTGGCCATTTCGGCCACTGTGCGATGTTTGCTTGTTTTCAAATTTAAAGTTTGTACTTACAATATGTACCTTATTCTTAAACCATTTTGTTTGCATCATACATATACATGTACGGAATCAGCAGAGAAATGTATATTTATTTAAATTTCTTGTCGTTTAGATAATGCTTGTGAAGCACCAAATGGAATAAAAGGAAAATGCGTATCCATAAGAGAATGCAACACTTTATTACCGTTAATCAAAGATAACCTATCGGCAAGTGAAAGAAATTTTTTAACCAGAAGTATGTGCGGAAAAGGATTTGCTCAGGTAAGTCCGCTAACTAAACATTTTACATACAAACTGAAAACCAAGTCTGTAATAAAAATGCTTTTTCCCAGGGCCCGGTGTTCTCAAAGGGTCCTATGCTCAGACTCCATAGAATATTTCATAAGATGTTTTACATAAAAATTATAGATTTTCATGATGAAAGGATGTAATATACTACTAAAAAATTGTATACACATAAAACAAATGCAATATTATTTAATGTCGAGCAATTTATTAGTTCAGTTGAACTCTTGGAAATCAACCTGTTTTCTTTACGCTTTCTTTTCTAGGGGCACTAAACTGTCAGAAGTGGTTATGAATTAAAAAAAAAAATATATAGTAGAAGATTCAAATAGGGCACGACCTTCATCCATCTGTTTAATGGATGAAATCTATTTTGTATGAATCTCCTTCTCTAAATCATGAAGATTCTCTTAATCCTGAGACACCTTTAAATGAATGAAAATTAAAAATGCAAAACATGAAACTAACGCCCCTATTGCGAGTGTCGACTGGCAGTAGAATAGAAATTTGTCGATTGAGTCGATCATCTTTTATTTTGCTATTGTGTAACTTGATCGATAAAAATTTGTACTATTGTGAATGGTTGCCAAAATTGTAAACAGCTGTTTGTTTGTTTACATTTGTTTCTTTAGTGTTTCATTTACATCATTTTTAAAACAATTGCTTTTATTATAAAATATAAAAAATGGATACTGTTGAGATATGGTTTAGTGATGAGGAAGATGATGTGGAAGGTAAAAGATTAGTAGTTGGCTAAAGCAAGGAGGAAATTGCGAGATTCGTCGAATCCCTTGGAGTTGGAAGATGAAGTGTATGTACATACATATGTAAATTTTATGAATAGCATTTGCGTTCCAGATGCTTCACGATTTGCAGGAAAAGCTGTTTTCGCCATTAATTAACCTTATGGAAGGTGGCCCCGTGGAACAGCTTCCTGTAAAAACCAGCAAATCGTGAAGGATCTGGAACGCAACTAGTTTAAGCAATTCGGTACGGCTTAGTTATTTGTTCAACGATTTTGGTATTTGTGTCCAAACGCGTGACCCGATTTAAAAACTTTAACATACGCGTGTAGTGAAAGAATTAAACTTTAATTTACAATAAATAATTCAAATTTCCGAGTACTAGTATATTAATAAATTATGGAGTTTTTTGTAAATTTTGAAGTTAGTTCTGCGCAAAAACACTGGATGGCGTAGCCGGAGTTATATGCACAAGAAATGTTGAATATCTTTCACAATAGAAGCGGAGCTTCCGCCCCTCTTCTCTGTGGAGACAGAAAGGAGAATTATACTTATTAAGGGTTATAATCCGTAAACGCCTACCCAGAAAGAAGTTGTGCGCAAAAATACTGTCGTCCGGAGTGGGACTGATGAGGGTATTTTTCTAAAAGCAGGCCTAAGGCGGCCAATGTGGAAGGTGTTATGTGCATAAATACTGTGAGTTTACATTTTCTATGTCTAAGTGCTAATTTTACCCCATTTTAAAATGGGCCCCGGGGGTCTGTAGAAGGGTCAGAGAGGGGAAGGATGACTTGTCTTATAGTTTGGATTGTGCTCGCTCTAATGGATGGGGTTTTAGGTGCCACACCCCCTTCCCCTTTCGCTGCACGCCACAAAATCATTGTACAGATAACTAAAAATTTCCCAAGAAATTCACTAAACCACCAACTTTACAGGTTTTTGAAAAATTATCGTTTACCGAAAGCTGCATTTACATATTTGCTTGAAACATTGGAAAGCAAAGTACAAGCTGGTGTAAGAAAAACCTCGATACGCCTAATTTTTAAACTAGCAGCGACTTTAAGGTTCTGTGCTCAGGGATGCTACCAACTGAGTGTAGGAAACGATAGCAATATTGGACTTGGCCAATCTACTGTTTCCCTAGTTTTGACTGAAATGTTTCATGCTTAGGAAGAGCACGTGTGTCAAAATTGGATAAATATGAATTACACTGATGAAGAGAAACGAAAGGCGAAAATGTATTTTTTTGAGAAAAGTGGAATTCCAGGNCAATAAATAATTCAAATTTCCGAGTACTAGTATATTAATAAATTATGGAGTTTTTTGTAAATTTTGAAGTTAGTTCTGCGCAAAAACACTGGATGGCGTAGCCGGAGTTATATGCACAAGAAATGTTGAATATCTTTCACAATAGAAGCGGAGCTTCCGCCCCTCTTCTCTGTGGAGACAGAAAGGAGAATTATACTTATTAAGGGTTATAATCCGTAAACGCCTACCCAGAAAGAAGTTGTGCGCAAAAATACTGTCGTCCGGAGTGGGACTGATGAGGGTATTTTTCTAAAAGCAGGCCTAAGGCGGCCAATGTGGAAGGTGTTATGTGCATAAATACTGTGAGTTTACATTTTCTATGTCTAAGTGCTAATTTTACCCCATTTTAAAATGGGCCCCGGGGGTCTGTAGAAGGGTCAGAGAGGGGAAGGATGACTTGTCTTATAGTTTGGATTGTGCTCGCTCTAATGGATGGGGTTTTAGGTGCCACACCCCCTTCCCCTTTCGCTGCACGCCACAAAATCATTGTACAGATAACTAAAAATTTCCCAAGAAATTCACTAAACCACCAACTTTACAGGTTTTTGAAAAATTATCGTTTACCGAAAGCTGCATTTACATATTTGCTTGAAACATTGGAAAGCAAAGTACAAGCTGGTGTAAGAAAAACCTCGATACGCCTAATTTTTAAACTAGCAGCGACTTTAAGGTTCTGTGCTCAGGGATGCTACCAACTGAGTGTAGGAAACGATAGCAATATTGGACTTGGCCAATCTACTGTTTCCCTAGTTTTGACTGAAATGTTTCATGCTTAGGAAGAGCACGTGTGTCAAAATTGGATAAATATGAATTACACTGATGAAGAGAAACGAAAGGCGAAAATGTATTTTTTTGAGAAAAGTGGAATTCCAGGCGTAATAGGTTGCATTGATGGGACACATATTAAAATCGTTGCCCCAAAAATGGATCTTCAACACCTTTACTATAACCGGGAAGGGTACTTCAGCTTAAACGCGATGATAGTGAGTATTTAGGTAAAATATTAAATGAAAGTATTATTTAAATATGTTCATTTACAGGCCTGTGAAAACGCTCTTAAGATTCGTTACATCAATGCAAGACATCCTGGGGCAACGCACGATGCTACGGTTTTCAATATGTCTTCTTTAAAACCCCAATTAGAAGATGACTACCGCAGGGGTGAAAGGAATTTATTATTAAGTTTGTTATTATCAAATATATTGGACATTTCGATGGCTCTTACACAAATTTGTATATAATTTTCACGTGACGCAGGATATGCTTTACAACCGTATATGCTTACTCCATTCCGGAACCCTGATAACGGATCAGTGGAGGGTATATTTAACAAAAGGCATGCAAAAGCTAGGAATGTTGTGGAACGCACGATTGGGGTGTTGAAAAATCGGTTTAGGTGTTTGATAGGTGCTCGTGCGCTGCACTATGAGCCAAAGAAAGCCACCCAAATAATAAACGTTTGCGCAGCACTGCACAATATATGCATTTTTTACAATGTTGAGTCTTCGAATGAAGAAGTTAATGATAGTCAAGACCCGGAAAACTATTATGAAGATCAAGGTGACATCAATGTTCAAGCTGGCCATATAAATCAAGAAGCCGTAGAAATAAGAAATAACATTTTACAACATAAATATGCGACTTCAGTCTTAAATCTTTTTTTATTGTTTGTATGTATTCATTGAAGCTCAGGTTTTTTTAAGTTTTATTAATTTGTTATAATTCCCGTAATTCAAGTTTAAATTAAAATCAATGTAACATAAAATGTTAAAAATTTAATATTGATAAATACCTACTACTTAAAGAATTATCGTAAACATAAGCCAAAAAATCTTCATTTTCAACTAAATTTGGTCATTGTTAAAAAAAATAGCCTCATGTGTACAAATTAATAGGGTCGCGACGTTATGAGAAGTTTTGACAATTTCTTTTTTGTTTTTGTTTTTTTTTTTGGCCTTTATAACAATTATATTCAACAATTTATATTGAGCTCGAGGCCGTTTTAAATGAAAATTTTATTGTGGAAAACCAACAATAATTTGAAAAAATGGTAGAAGTGATAGCTATTTGGGAAATTACATTTCCTCATCAGACTTCTTTCAGTAGTACGCCTTGTAAATTATCGTTTGCTTTTTTCCACTATTTTCATTTTTGTTATGCCAACACAATCAAGCGCAGCTATTCCGCTGCAATTCACTTGATCATGTGGTTGTTGGTATTGTTGGTTTTTGCTAATAATTCTATTTTTAGAATGTTTAACTTTTAGGTGTGCTCGTCCTTAAGTTATTTGTTTTTGTTATTTTTTTTTGCCCTGTTATATGCATGGAGTCGAAGTCGTCGATAACGATGTTTAACCGCAGATTAGTGTTAACCAGACATTGAGTAACCGGCCCTAAGTCTCTTAAATCTAATGTAAGAAAAGGATATAAACTTTCCGAAAGCAAATGGATTTTAAGTAGTAGCCAGTAAGTTGTTTTACTATATATTTAATTCAATTAATTATAATTAAGATAAGTATTTAGAGTTGATTTAATCCAAGCTCAATTTAAAGGTAAAATATAAGTAAAGGTAAGTATCCTGAGTAATTATAACTAGTAGGTAAATTTAGGGTAAGTACGGTTAAGGTAAATCAGGTCGGTAAGTCCAGTAGCAAAATCAGGTAGGAATATCCGGTAAGTATATTACAAAACAATTGAATTGAGTTAAACAGGTAAGGGGATGTATATTTATAGTAGGTCAGGTAGGTATATTAACAAAAGTTAAATTAAGTAATGCGGGTAAGTATATTCAGGTATTAGGGTTGCGATTTCGTTTTAAGTAGTTAAGGATTTTCATTTATTTTTCTTTTTCTTCTTTTCTATCTTTTGGTCGTATAGCGTTTTGGTTTCCGTTTTATATTTTCACGATTTCATTTTAAATTTTTTT